AAATGAGACTGAATCTTCCGCTTGAACATGGAAAGATACATTGCCATATATGGGCCTCGCTGCACTACTCTGGAAATGTGCAAAACGAGAGTGAATCTTGCGCTAGAATATGGAAAGATACACCGCCAATATTTTTGTCTTGTTGTGCATGTTGAGAGTTGTGCAGCGAGCCCGTTGGTGAACATTACCGTTGAGGTTCCGGGCTTCACTCGTGCAAAGAATTTCTGATGTTCTTCCTTTACATTTTTTTCTTTTTATTAAAAAAACATATTCCAGGAAAAACGGCTGTCAGTTCCGTCGTTTTCTACTTCAGAAGTAATAAGAAGAGATCGTTTTGAGAGATCGCGACACTCATCATGACTGAATCTGGCCTTCAAGAACCCTACCATACAGACTGCACTTACCGTTGAGGTTCTGACAGGTTGGACGCGCCGGGCGACACTCATGCAAAGAAATTCTGATTTTCTTCGCTTACATTTTTTTCTTTTTATTAAAAAAAAAATTTCCAGGAAAAACGGTCGTCAGTTCCGTCGTTTTCTACTTCAGAAGTAATATGAAGAGAACATTTTGAGAGATCGCGACCCTCATCATGACTGAATCTGGCCTGCAAGAACCCTACCATACAGACTGCAATACACACAGAGTGTTACCCCGACTACAGGTTACTAAAAGCTTTCAGGCCAACGGGCGGCCTTCAAAAAAAAATTGGCTGCCTGTTTCTTATTTTACGCGAGCAGGGGGCCGGGTCTACTACCGCCCCTCACAACTTTTTTTTTTTTTTTTTGACCCCCATTTTTTGAGGTGCGCCGCATGCAGTGCGCGCGCGTCGTGCGGGAAGCGCAGTGCGGCGCACGTGCGCAGTACAGCACATCGCGATGCGCCGCAAGTATGCAAATTACTAAATTAGTAATTACGAAAAAACCTAGGTTACCTGATCGGACGTCCCGGGACCCCCCTGACCGTCCGGGGATTGTCCGCCGGACAACTGGTCAGACATCCTCCCCGGGCAGACTGTCCGAGCCCGAACGACAACAACAACAAAAAAAAAGAGTAGTCCTACTAGTCCTCCAAAAAATCTGAAAAAAAAACTATGTTATACAGAAAACTAAACTGAACAACTCCTTTTCCACATCATTTTCTCCAAAGAGGAACCGCTAATTACTAATTAGTACTGATTACCAATATTACTCTACCTCGATCCCTCTCTCTCCTTTTCCACGTCATTTTCCCCTTCAATGAAGTGATATGGGGAAGCTGTTTCTTCGACGATCTTGTGATCGCATCGCGTATGCGGTGCGATGCGTGTGCATTCGTGTGATGCAAGCACATACATTCCTCTATTCCTATTCCCATGAACGTTCAGATTACAATCAGCTTAATAACTGCCGTACAATTCAAAGGGAAAAATATTGGAATGTACCTGGCCCTCTTCTCGTCCCAATACATACCAAAAAATATTAAATGAATGCATCTCGACCATCTCACATGCAACCTCCAAGGGAAAATGTAACTGCTGTACATTTCCAAGGGAAAATGAGACTCCAAAATGTATCTGGACTTTCTTTGGACCACATACACTCGGACCACACACAAATAGTCTTCGACATCTGCAACCTTGAAGAAGCACAACAAAGAGCCTTGAACATCTGCTGCACTACCACCTTTTTCTCCCCCTCCTATTTTTTTTCCTTTTCCTTTTTAGTCGCCCTAATTTTGTCATAATCTGTTCAGTGTTTCTTCTTCCATATTGCCACAATGCCTCTCTCTCTCTCTCTCTCTCTCTCTCTCTCTCTCTCTCTCTGTGTATGTGTGTGTGTGTGTGTGTGGGTCGGTGTGTGTGTGTGTGTGTGTGTGTGTGTGTGTGT